GAGGGGTGGGACTAAGAACTTCCCTCCCACTCTCACCCAACAGCAACACCACACTACCACACACCACCCACACCAATACAACCTCCATCACTACCACGTCACCATACATCACTACACCTCTACACCACTACTACCACAGTATCACCATACACCACTACCACACCACTACACCACTACCACCACTACCACACCACGTCCCGCACCACTACCCACACTACCACCACTACCACACCAGTGAGAGCTTCGCGCCGTTTGCTGTCAGTGTGGTAGGGAGGATGGGGTGAGGCGCAGGGGCTGGGATGTTGCTAGGGGTTGTGAGGCAGGTGAGGTGGCGGGAGAAGGAGCTGGGGAAGGGGCTGGCGTCTGCATAGGGGGGGGGGGTATCCAGAGTGGTTGGGAGATACTGAAGGGTAAGGGCTGAGGGCTTGTTAGGGGTAGAAGCAAAGGGAGAGAGAGAGAGGTAGGAACTAAGGGGTACTGGTGAGTAAGGGGATGTCAAGGGGTATAAGAGATTCCCCAGGGTATGGCAACAGTGCACTATGAGGGTCTGGCAATACTGTCGTGTGATACAGGACCCAGGTTATGACAACATTGGTCTCGTGTTGTGTTGGATCTGGCTACACTGTTAAGCGGCCTGATAACACTTGTATACGTCGTTGGCAATACTGCTGTTCTGTTTATCAAGGTTTGACAACATTCTAACGTGGTCTGGTAACACCGTCATGTGGGGCCAAATGGGGATAGGGGTCAAATTGGGCCCATAGGTCAAGGGCCCAATTAGATCAATTATTGCCCCCCCCCCTTCCTCACCCCCTCTCCCCTCCCCCTTCTCCCCTCCACCTCCTTTCTACCCAAGGTTGTAGTAACATTGTCATCCCCCTCCCCAACCTTCACCCCTCTCCCCCTCTGTTCTTCCCCCACCCCTCCTGGCACCCCCACTCCTCCTGGCAGTGGTTGGCGGGGAGTGAATTAGTATAACATTGGAGGAATCATATAATTACTTAGTGTGGCCCTCAGCCTTCATCTTGGTAAGGGACACTAATAAGATTTACGGCCACACACACACACACACACACACACACACGCACACGCACACGCACACACACACACGGGGGGGGTGGGGAGGTGATTACAACATTTACCACAAGATGTTATGAGTCATTTAGTAGACCCGCTAACTACCACAACGCTCGTCAAGTGTACTAGAAAAACTGTATAGTCTCTCTCTCTCTCTCTCTCCCTCACCCCTCCCTCTCCCTCACCCTCTCCCTGACAAAGGTCCCGCCCTGACCACTCTAAGCGGATCCTCCCGGCAGCAGATCACATTAGCCGAGGTATTAAGACTGAAGAGGTTTGTCTCTGTCAAAAACAATGATGAAATATTCCCAGCTTAAGGCGTGGAGAGCCGACTCGACACCTCCTCCTTGATGCTATCTGGAGGAGGAGGGGGAGGTGAGGAGGACGAGGGGATGGAGGGAAGAGAGATGGAGGAGGAAGAAAGAAGAGGAGGAATAGAAAGAGGAGACTGAGGAAGAGGAGGAGAAAATCTACACCATCATCACTACAACTCCACACCATCACCACACACCACTACCATACCACCACACCACTATTACCACACCATCACTACACCACCAGCCAAGCAAGTAGTATAAGAGGAAGGTCAACACACAACTACACTACAACACCACAATAAAGGTTATAATGGTGTAACAATAGTGTGAGTAACCAGATAACAAGAGCCACACCAATGACATCAACCACCTCCCCTCCCCCCCTGTGTGTGTATGAGAGAGAGAGAGAGAGAGAGAGAAAATCAACAACGTCCACCATTATTATTATCATCATGTTGCACAATACTTAACAATCTCGTTCTATCAGCGTCTTTTGCAACAAGAGTTTATAATTTTGCAATCCACTCCTGAAGACTCTCCTCCTGCAACACACACATGGTATATAAACACTACTCACTGGACTATGCAAATCTGGCGGTATTAAACAGCTGACTGACTGGCTGACGGACTGACTGACTGACTGGCTGACGGACTGACTGACTGACTGGCTGACGGGCTGACGGGGGTTGAAGACATAAATGTAAATACTTAAGACATTGGTGGTTAGGTTAGGGTTAGGTTAGGTTAGGTTAGGTTAGGTTAGGTTTAGGTTTAGGTTAGGTTAGGGTTATTGATATGCTGAAATGAATTGCTTGAGAGGAGGTTATCGCTTGAACATACATACATACATACATACATACATACATACATACATACACTACAGCCAGCCACATATACTGTTAGGAGTGTGTCGGTTATTGCAACACACTCAAGTCATAACACACTCAGTTCACAACACACTCAGTTCACAACACACTCAGTTCACAACACACTCAGTTCACAACACACTCAGTTCATAACACACTCAGTTCACAACACACTCAAGTCATAATACACTCAGTTCACAACACACTCAGTTCACAACACACCTCAGTTCACAACACACTCAGTTCACAACACACTCAGTTCACAACACCTCAGTTCACAACACACTCAACTCACAACACACTCAGTTCACAACACTCAACTCACAACACACTCACCTCACAACACATTCGACACACTCAACTCACAACACACTCACCTCACCACGCAGTCAGGGAAGTCACCAGTACACAATACACCACAAACACTTCATCACCACCATCACCACCATCATCACCACCACCACCATCATCACCACCATCACCACCACCATCATCACCATCACCACCACCACCATCATCACCACCACCACCACCACCATCACCACCCCATCATCACCACCACCATCATCACCACCACCATCATCACCACCACCATCATCACCACCACCATCATCACCACCACCATCATCACCACCACCATACATCACCACCATCACCACCACCATCATCATCACCATCATCACCACCACCACCATCACCACCATCACCACCCCATTACCACCATCACCATCAACAAGGAATAATATCACCATTATTATCACCATCAGCAGGTATTTACACAGATGTTCTCAAGGCTGTCAGGTGTTCAGGCTGTCAGGTGTTCACAGGTATTCTTACAAGGGATTTAAGTATTTGTAAAGTCTTCTTGAGAAATTGAAGGTCAGGGGGCGTTACCTGGACCCTGAGGAGAGAGAGAGAGAGAGAGAGAGAGAGAGAGAGAGAGAGAGGATAATAATTCCAAGGTAAGGAATCACACAACTGAATTAGCTAGAATCCCCCTCCCACGCCTCCCCACACCTCCTCCCTCACCCCTAACCTCATCCCCCTCCCCCCACCTCTAAAATATCCCAGCCACCACCAGATATTTCGACTAATTTACTCAAGATAAAATTGCAATTAATGAATAAGAAAAATAACTCCCTTCGTTCACTGACTCTGTGGGGAGAATCTGTCTGTCTGTCTGTGTGTGTGTGTGGGGGAGGTTTATGAGTTTGATGAGTCAGTTCCAAAGGTAAAGCTGACATCACCTGACAACACTGGCTGACAACACCTGACAACACCTGACAACACTGGCTGACAACACCTGACAACACTGGCTGACAACACCTGACAACACTGACAACACCTGACAACACTGCTGACAACACCACAACACGCTGACAACACCTGACAACACTGGCTGACAACACTGGCTGACAACACCTGACAACACTGCTGACATCACCTGACAACACTGGCTGACAACACTGGCTGACAACACTGGCTGACAACACCTGACAACACTGGCTGACAACACCTGACAACACTGGCTGACAACACCTGACAACACTGGCTGACAACACCTGACAACTCTGCCATCATCCAATCACTATTATATACATAGGTTGTTGGCAGTGTTGGAAGACTCACTCACTATGTTGCTCTTAACACCCCAGTATAAACACGCTGACAGGGTGGGGGTGTGGTGGGGGAGGAGGGGAGAAGAGGAAGATGAGGTGGGGAGAAGAGGAGGAGGAAGGGGTGAGGGGAGAGGAGGAGGAGGTGAGGTGGGGGAGAGGAGGAGGAAGGGTGAGGTGGGGGAGAAGAGGAGGAGGGAGGGAGAATGATGGGTAGGGGAAGGACAAAGAAAAGAGGAGGGAGGAGGAAGAAGACAGGGGGAAAGAGGTAGAAAGAAGAGGGGCAGAAGGAGGTAGGAGGAGGAGAAAGAAAGTAAAACAGAAAGAGGAAAATAATAATAATAAAGATGGAAGCAGGAAAATGGATAACTAAATATGTCACAACAAAACATAAAAGAACGTGTTGTAAGTCTATAACTTCACTATAACCCACAACCCGTCACTATAACCCACAACCCTTCACTATAACTTCACTATAACCCACAACCCTTCACTATAACCCACAACCCTTCACTATAACCCACAACCCTTCACTATAACCCACAACCCTTCACTATAACCCACAACCCTTCACTATAACCCACAACCATTCACTATATCTTGCAACCCTTCACTATAACTTCACTATAGCCCACAACCATTCACTAAAACTTCACTATAACCCACAACCATTCACTAAAACTTCACTATAACCCACAACCATTCACTAAAACTTCACTATAACCCACAACCATTCACTATAACTTCACTATAATCAACAATGAACTTATAAAGGCGATATACAATGAGATTCTTATCAATTATAACATCGCGTATAATAATAATAATAATAATAATAATAATAATAATAATAATAATAAGAGGTGGTGTCTGAACTCGTTAATGACCCGACACTGTGGAATCTAAGGGTCATTAACCTGTTCTCTTACACCCATCCCACACACACACACACACACACATACTTTTCTTACCTGTCCTGTACGTGCACATAAATATACACACACATTATAATAATACTTACCTGCCTTGAACACACACACACACACACACACACACACACACACACACACACACACACACACACACACACACACACACACACACACACACACAGAGGTACTCACATGTCTTTCTGCTGCGTTGAGGTCACCAGCACCCGGATGAGAAAGAGAAAAACATACCGTTAGTTTAGTCATTAACAAACAAACAAACAAACAAACAAACACAAACAAATACATACAGTACATAAAAGATATAAATACAAACACACATACAGTACACAAACACAGGTACAAACAAACAGAAAACACAAACGCCCTCCAGTACCCCAATAGAGAGAGAGAGAGAGGCGTCTGGAGTCAATGAAAGCTGCTGCCGGGAATCTTGTGTCATTCACCCTGCCACTCACCCTGCCACTCACCCTGCCACCACCCTGTCACCACCTGCCACTCACCCTGTCATAACCCTGCCATTCACCCCTCCCACTCACCCTGCCATTCACCCAGCCACCACCCAGCCCTCACCCAGCCACCACCACCCTGCCACCACCCCTGCCACTCACCCAGCCACCACCCTCCACCACCCTGTCATTAACCCTGCCCCACCTGTCAAACCCCACCCCACCCCCCACCCAGCCACCACCCCCCACCCCCACCACCCCCCCACCCCACCCGCACCACCCGCCACCACCCACCACCCCCACCACCCACCACCCCCCACCTCACCACCCCCACACCCAGCCACCACCCGCCACCACCCTGCCACCACCCTCCTCACCACCCTGTCACTCACCCTGCCACCACCCAGCCACCACCCTATCACCACCCTGCCACCACCCTGCCCACCCTGCCACTCCCCCACCACCCTCACCACCCCCACCCCACCCCACCCCCCCCCCCCACCACACCACCCCTGCCACCACCCTGCCACTCACCCCTCTCACTCACCCTGCCACTCACCCCGCCCCCACCCTGTCACCACCCTGCCACCCACCCTCACCCTGCCCCACCCTGCCACCACCCCTCACCCTCTCACTCACCCAGCCACTCACCCAGCCACTCACCCCTCACTCACCCTGCACTCCACCCTGCCATTCACCCAGCCACTCACCCTGCCCTCACCCTGCCACTCACCCTGTCACCACCCTCTCACTCACCCTGCCCTCACCCTGCCACTCACCCTGTCACCACCTGCCATCACCCAGCCACTCACCCTGCCCTCACCCTGCCACTCACCCTGTCCACTCACCACCCTGCCATTCACCCCAGCCACTCACCCTCTCACTCACCCTGCCACTCACCCCACCACCTCACCTCTCACTCACCCAGCCACTCACTCGCCACTCACCCTCCAACCCTTCACCCTGCCACTCACCCCAGCCACTCACCACCGCCCCACTCACCCTGCCACTCACCCTGCCACTCACCCCTGCCACTCACCCCTGTCACTCACCCCTGTCCTCACCCTGTCCTCACCCTGTCACTCACCCTGTCACTCACCGCACTCACCCCTGCCCCTCACTCACCCCTCACCCTCACCACCCTGCCACTCACCCTGTCATTAACCCTGCCCTCACCCTCTCACTCACCCAGCCACTCACCCAGCCACTCACCCAGCCATTCACCCTGTCACTCACCCTGTCACTCACCCTGTCACTCACCCTGCCTCCACCCTGTCACTCACCCAGCCCTCACCCTGTCACCACCCCTGCCATCACCCTGCCTCACCCTGTCACTCACCCTGTCCTCACCCTGTCACTCACCCTGCCACTCACCCTGTCCTCACCCGCCATTCACCCTGTCACTCACCCTGTCACCACCCTGTCACCCCACCACCCCCCCACCCTGTCACTCACCCCTGCCACCCACCCTGCCCTCACCCCTGCCACTCACCCAGCCACTCACCCTGCCCTCACCCCTGCCACTCACCCTGCCACTCACCCCTCACCACACTCTCCACACACCCTACCACACCTCGCCTCACACGGAACAGAGGCAAAATAATCACAATCTTCAGAACGAAAGAGGAACTAGAGAGAAAGAGAGAATAAATGAGGACAAAGACAACAATAGTGATGATGAAGGGAGACGAGGAATTGGTGATAAAGTGTAGGAAGAGAGGCAGGAGGTAATAAACGAGAAGGAAGATGATAAAGGAGGGGAGAGAAGGAGGTTGTGATAACGTGTAGAGAAAGAGATGATGATGGAGGGATAGGAGGAGGAGGAGGAGAAGAAGAGGTGATAAGTAAGGAGGTGATGAAGAAGGGGAGACAGAATAAAAGGTGTGGATGGGAGAATTGAAATGAATTTACAGGAATAAGACAAAGAGAGAGAGAGAGAGAGAGAGAGAGAGAGAGAGAGAGAGAGAGAGAGAGAGAGAGAGAGAGAGAGAGAGACATCCATCAGGTGCCGTGCATACATACGGACGCGCTAACGACCGGAAATGGTTAACTGCCTCCCAGGTCATTAACACACACTGGCCAGGAAACACATGACGTCACTCCTAATGGAAAGGTTGACGGATATCATAGATGTGTGGCCGCCATGTTGGTTACCCTCCCCACTGTGGCCGCTATGTTGGTTACCCCTCCCATGTGGCCGCTATGTTGGTTACCTCCCGTGTGGCCGCCATGTTGGTTACCCCTCCCACGTGGCCGCTATGTTGGTTACCCTCCCCACGTGGCCGCTATGTTGGTTACCCCTCCCCACGTGGCCGCCATGTTGGTTACCCCTCCCCATGTGGCCGCCATGTTGGTTACTCCTCCCACGTGGCCGCCATGTTGGTTACCCCTCCCCACGTGGCCGCTATGTTGGTTCACTCATGTGGTTGGCGTCATGTAGGGTCCCTCAAGTGGTGGCCATGACTGGTACCTCCTGTTAACAGAAGTCCTTCCTCCAGTTAAACAGATGCCAACAGTTCTTCTTGAGACAGTTAGCACGACAAACGGTCCGCCTGGTGGTGGTCGGGCGCACCAATATATATTGTTCTCTGCCGTTGTCTGGTCCACGATGGCGGGCGGCCGTACCAACACTTGTGGCCACCATTACACCGTCACAGTAAAAGACGTCCAGTAACACTGACTTAATGAAGACAATCTGCTCCCCAGGGCTCCTCCATCTTCCCCTAAGGCGGCCCCAGCGGGCCCGGGAAGGACAGTGGACCCTCGCCGGCACCCACCGGAGCCCCTGGCGGGGGCCTGAGGAAACATGGGCTCCCCAGCGGGATGGCTCAGGGGGACCCTGAAGGCCGTCGCTGGTACGCACCCGGGGCCCCGCCAGCACCTCTTGGGGTCCCCGGCGGGAGAGCCCTCGGGACAGCGGGGCCCCCGCCAGCACCTGCAGTAGAGAGCCGCCGTCTCAAGTCTTAGCGCCATCACGGGTCTTCTCGAGCCTGGCCGTATAATAAGTATTGAGTCGAGGCAAAATACTCGAGGACGTTGTCAGGACTGGAGAAGGACTCCAAGAGCGGGTGAAGGAGCCTCAGGGAGCCTGGCTGAAGAACCTGAGGGTGCTCCACTCTCCAAAAGGACCAGTCACTGCAAGGGCCGAGCACGCTTCACCGCCGTGCCATCGGGGGCGCTGAGCTCGTTCAGAAAAGAGGCCTTTGTCTCGAGTGGTCGTTAATTCAAGAGCTCGTTATGTCGAGAGGCCATGACGCGGCTCCAGACTCCCCGCGCAAATTTATATTTCCAATACTACTCCGCTGACAGCCATTACGGGCCGCTGCCTGTTTGTTTACCTTTTTCCCCCAGTATGAATGAATCATTCATCTTAGCGCTGCTCTAAGACAAATGATGCCATTCACCTCTTCCCTCATTGCGGTCAAAGGCATACCAGCGTCTCTCTGTAATCACCCCCCCCCCACACACACTTTGCTTAATACTAGTACTATTAATAGTACAAGGAAGTGTACCAGTAGTCACAGTTGTAGTACAAGTAATGTTATTGGTATTAATTGTTGCAGTAATACAATTGGGGTACTGTTCATAGTAGTAATATTAACAGTAGCAATTGTAGCAGTAGTAAAATTTTAGTATTCAGAGAAGTAAAATTAGTAGGGGTAGTAGTAGTAGTAGTAGTAGTAATACAAATACTAGTAACTATTGTAGCAATATTATAAATAGCAAAAGAAAACTTATACCTGTATTAATAATAATAATAATAATAATAATAATAATAATAATAATAATAATAATAATAATAATAATAATAATAATAATAATAATGATAATAATAATAATAATGATAATAATAATAATAATAATAATAATAATAATAATAATAATAATGATAATAATAATAATAATAATAATAATAATAATAATAATAATAATAATAAAATCTTCCACGTTGATTGAAATTATAAGTATAACTGGTGAACTTCCCTTCACCCATCCCCTTCAACCCCTTCCTTCCCCTCCCCATTAACGACCCCCCGCCCATGCTCGACTTATACCAACAAGCGGACCTGCTCATTAAGGCTTCACTTATTTGCATGGTCGACGAGGGAAGGAAGGAGGAGGGAGGGAGGAGAGAAGGAAGGAAGGAGAGAAGGAGGAAGGAAATGAATTATTTTCCTGTACCCAAGTTCTTTTAAGACTATACTAACTCACCGGGCAATGTTAAGGCTACCTGCTGACTGACTCCCTTCCTTGAGTGGAGGGAGTGTTGGAGGGAGGAGGGTGTGTTGGAGGTAGGAGGGAGGTTGGAGGGAGGAGGGAGTGTTGGAGGGAGGGAAAGGTGTGTTGGAGGGTAGGAGGGGTGTTGGAGGGTAGGAGGGTGTGTTGGAGGGTAGGGAGGGAGTGTTGAGGGAGGGAGGAGTGTTGGAGGGTAGGAGGGTAAAGTCTACCTCAACCTCCCATAATAACACCCCAGAGACCCTCCTCCCTCCCCCCCCCAGATAATCATCTACGGGGACACCTGAACCGGTCCCCCCACACACACACACACACACCAAATTATAGGAGTAACATTAACTGGTTGGAGGAGGAGGATGGGGTGGTAAGGAGAGAAAGGAGGAAGTGAAGGAGGGATAGGAAGGAGGAGGGTACTAGTGAAGGAGGGATGAAGGAGTGACAGAAATGGTTACTTATCCTTCTGTATGTAAGAGAAATGATAATTTTCTTCTTCCTTCCTT